TCCCAAATAATGCCTAACCACATTAGGTATTAAAAAAAAAAAATAGAAATTATCGTTTTGGTAGGTAGAACGAATACCCACCACCAATGCATCGTCTTTGAAGGTTTAATGTTTTTTATAGCAAATCAACAAAAAGGAACAATAAACCGAAACAAGGTAACTTTATACATTTGATAAAGAAAGAAAAAGAAAAAAAGAATCACTAATCAAAATTATTAAGAATTATGGTAATGTTATATTTATAACATTACATAAAATTAAAAATTTATAATTGTATATAGTATTAAATAAATATGATATAATATTAAATAAATAGATATATACAATATAAGTAAAATTTTAAATAAAAAATAATTATATAATAATTATTATATTATAAATTTTTAATATTATGTGATATGATAATTAAAATATTTTTTTAAAAAATTTTTGGATTGAGAAGACATCTCCTTACCAAGATTAACTATAGATTTAGGATTTCTATCAGTTAGGATTTAATTTTATCAAATAGTTAGGGTTTAAGTTTTTAACATTTAGATATTTATATTTTTAAATTACGATTCTTATTATATTAAATTTAAAATTTAAAACTAAAAAATTATCTGTATGATAAATAAAGATTATGATTTAAAAATTGCTAATTAAAAAGTGAACAAAAGCTAAAAAAAATCAAAACTTAAAGTTATATACACTCATCATTACTAAAAAATACAAGAAAGAAAAAAGTTGTTAATTGCATGAATGATATATGTTTGGTTTGAGTATAGATTGTATGTACAAATGTTTTTAATTTTTATTTTTTTCATTTTATTATTTTTATTTTTAAAATTTATTATTATTATATAGATATTAAATATAATAAGTATATATAAAATTTTAATTATATAAATATAAATAATAGATTAGTTAAATAATATAAATAAATAAATAAAATAAATCATTTTAAATTTTTATATTTATTATTTAATTTAATATTTATAATATAATATTCTTATATTCATTACCTAGTTATTTTTTTACCGTTTGAATATTCCATGAATCGAGGGAGGATGTTTGGTTTTTCTTTTTTTTATGTGATAAAGATAATAGTTAGTAATAAATTAATAAAAAATTAATAATAAGCTAACAATTAAAAATTCGATCCGATCTCAAATCAAGTGATCTCTCACCTCCCTAATGAGATGTGTGACCATTGAACGACTTGGTAGAGTTTGGAAGGATGCTTGGTTGTTTTCTCTAAGTTAAAGGAAACTTATCATTTAACTTCAAAATATTATTATTTTTGTAAAAACAAAAAATGAAAGTGTTTTTTTTTTCTTTTTTGTTTTTTTGTCCGAAAGAAACTGCGTTGTTTTAAAACGTGTTGACGACGCCAAGACAACATTTCTAATCAACACATCGAGTCAATCATAACAAAGTTGCTTTATTTTCTTATCTGACAAAGTTTCTGCTGAGAAAGGAAGAGAGAGAAAATAATAAAGACAACATTTCTAATCATCATTTTTAGTCAACCATTAATGCTGCTTTGAGGTAAAGGGCAAGGGGTTTTTTTAAAAAAAATTTTTAAGGCTTCATTCATTTTT